CGAACCCGGGTCTTCGGCGTGTCGAGCGAACGCTTTAACCACCAGGCTACCCGACCGCCCCCACACACTCCAGACACGGTGGTATTTACGTGGAATGTACTCACAATAAACTAATATTTACATAATTAAGCACAGTTTACAGACGTCATATGTATGCAGTTTCTCCCGAGAATGAGGGCAACAAACTTTGACAGAGGGAATTGATGAATTAACATCGTGAGAATATTCAAAAATATAATAAAAAGCAATTTTAGGCACAAGTGACGTGAGGTGAGGTGAAATGGGGTTTAACGTCGTGTTCAATCAAGAAAACTGCACTTATATAGCGACGTGTATGTATGTGTGTGCGTGCGTGCGTGCGTGCGTGCGTGCGTGCGTGCGTGCGTGCGTGCGCGCGCTTGTAATAGAGTCCGGACTGATGCCGAGTCATAGTGCTATGCCGCAGTTACCATGCCGCAGTTTAACATGAATACCCCACTCAGACACAGTTTACTGACTCCGAGCCGACCAGTCCTTGCTTTAGCCCTTAATGCCGAGCGCCAGACAGGGTAACAACAAGTACCATGTTTTCACCGTCTTTTGGCATGATTAACGGATCGGATGGTCAGGCTCGATGCTCATGATGTCAGTCACTGGATTGTCTGGTCCTGACGTTACAGGTCGCCGTCATATAGCAGGAATATTGAGGCGTGCGGCGTTCAACAACAATCAATACTGACGACGCTGGACAAAGCATGCCTTCGTACAAGTCCGCGGTATTTGTCCTTAACGTACAGACAGGCAATTTGGTAATGATTCATAACACATATTCATGATATAGTCGGAATCATACAATGGACAATGGTTCCAGTAGAAATTTCTCATAGGGATTATGGAAAGGGTTTTGTTGGTTTGATTAGAGATGGATATCGAAATGACAAGCTCGGGGAAGTAAGAGATTTTACGTGCGCACTAAATATAGGATTGTGAAAGACATTCAATTCTCAATTGACTTCATGGAGCAACCATTTTATTTTCCATGGGTAGGGGTCTGTTATTTTCTGTTAATTTTTTTTATCAATACCCTGTTTTCCTGGAGATAAAATAGAGATGCCTCGCATAGTAGAAAAAATATTTTGCCCTTTTCGTGCAGATAATCTTAAAGTGTACAGTTTGTTATTTGAATTCATAATTTTGAAAATATAAAAAAAAACATAATTGAGTACATGTTTAGGTTAAAAAATGAATTAAGCTTCTAATAATCTAAAACAACGCTGATCTCTCTCTCTCTCTCTCTCTCTCTCTCTCTCTCTCTCTCTCTCTCTCTCTCTCTCTCTCTCTCTCTCTGTCCCCCTCTCTCTCTCTCTCTCTCTCTCTCACACACACACACAAACACACACCGTAAGTAAATAGTCGCTGCTTAAATATTAATCTGAAAAACGACAAAAAGGTACCACGTACTTTAATTGACACTCTATTCACGTACAGACATTGACTACACCGGGAGCTGTAATGCTCCACACCCTGCTCAATGGTTTGTTTCATTTAGAATGTGGTACAAATGTCATGGTCACAAATACAATATTGCTGGAAATACGACCTGAAATCTATGACATCGTCTGTTACAATACTGTGAATAGACACAATCGTCTCTGTGCTGTAAGCGCGTGGAATACCTTGTCTGTAAACATGTCGGCTCCCAGCCTATAAAACGTGAATTTGGTGTGTTATTTTGTTTTGTTTGTTGTTTAACGCCGCACTCAGCAATATTCCAGCTATATGACGGCGATCTGTAAGTAATCGAGTCTGGACCAGACAATCCAGTGATTAATATCATGAGCATCGATCCACGCAATTGGGATCGATGACATGCATCAACCAAGTCAGCGCGCCTGACCACCCGATCCCTTTAGTCGCCTCTTACAAGCATAGTCACCTTTTACGACAAGAATGGGATGCTGAAGACCTATTCTATCCCGGATCTTCACGAGTCGAAGAGGAAAGTCACTTCGGGCTTTCCTCCCACATTAGGCTGACGTCAGTTATTGAGGTGAGGTGAAATGGGTTTTAACGTCGCGTCCAAGATTATCGCAATCATATAGCGACGTGCTTGCATGTGTGTGTGTAGTAGTAGTAGTAGTAGTAGTAGTAGTAGTAGTACGGACTGATGCCGATTTTGTGGTGCTAACTCACCGAGATACCATGCCGCATTTTATCATGACTACCCCACTCAGACACACACTCCGAGCCGTCCAGTCCCTGTTTCGGTCCCTCAATGCCGATCGACAGGCAGGGTAACAACAAGTACAATCTTTTCATGTCTGTTGGTGTGACGCGGACAGGGATAGAACCCCGGACCTTCCGCTCTCCGGGCGGACACCCTACCTCTGGACCACGGAGGCGGTATGCCAGTAGTGATGGAATACTGTTAAATGCGTCACTATTTACAAGCATGGAACAGACAAAGCAGTGACTGATGAATAACTTTCCAGGGGATCCGAGGATATATGATTTGCTCTCGTCGTTATGTCGCTGATATATTGGCAACGCATCGTTACATATCGTTAACATAGCCCCCAAGTAAACGATGTTTGTCATTAGAGGTGGGGCGGTCGGGTAGCCTAGTGGTTAAAGTGTTCGCTCGTCACGCCGAAGACCCGGGTTCGATTCCCGACATGGGTACAATGTGTGAAGCCCATTTCTGATGCTCCCCGCCGTGATATTGCGGGAATATTGCTTAAAGCGGCGTAAAACCGTGCTCACTCACTCACTCATTAGAGGTGATTAAATGGTTGTGATCGGGGACTTGGTTGGTTGCGTGACATCGTACCCCCTGACGTTGGGCGTTACTCATAGTACCATTTTGTGGTTTGTCTAATCCAGACTCAATTATTTACAGACCGTGATATGTCTGTGCTGTTGGGTTTGGCAACAAACGTTACTTGGAGATGAGTGCAGGGTGTTACTGTGACTTCAAGTACCCACATAGTTCCCACTGCAACGTGTGTAATTTCCTGGAACGAATTCGTCAAACTAAACTCAGATAAACGCTCTTTTCGATGATTTATTTGTCTTACGGTGACCATTATGTAATTATATAACCATATTTATTTCTTTAAAATCGTATTGAAATACCAGTGTAATTTAAATAAATTTCAATCTTGGCATCTCCGAAGAAACTTCAGAAACATGAACATTAAATTCTGACATAAGGATTGTAGTTATACTATTCAAAGGTAGTTAAAGAACACATGATATATCCATTAATCTGCCATGCTAGGGGGAGTTCCTTAACTTCTTTTGAGTAGAATATAAGGTATGTTTTACACGTGGTATGACCAGGCCAGGGTCGTTATCAGAAATGTTTATTTCAAAGTACTGTTTTTACCAAGTATTGCCAACAAAATGGATTTTTTTTGGCCCCACTGCAATTTATAGCCCAAGTATTTCAATAGATGGCGCTTCGCCTTCTCCATTTTCTTACTCTGTTCCCCGGATGTATATCTTCTCTTCTCTAACCCTGCTCAATGGTTTGTTTCATTTAAAATGTGGTACAAATGTCATGGTCACAAATACAATATTGCTGGAAATACGACCTGAAATCTATGACATCGTCTGTTACAATACTGTGAATAGACACAATCGTCTCTGTGCTGTAAGCGCGTGGAATACCTTGTCTGTAAACATGTCGGCTCCCAGCCTATAAAACGTGAATTTGGTGTGTTATTTTGTTTTGTTTGTTGTTTAACGCCGCACTCAGCAATATTCCAGCTATATGACAGCGATCTTTAAGTAATCGAGTCTGGACCAGACAATCCAGTGATTAATATCATGCGCATCGATCCACGCAATTGGGATCGATGACATGCGAGCCTGACCACCCGATCCCGTTAGTCACCTCTTAAGACAAGCATAGTCACCTTTTACGGCAAGCATGGGTTGCTGAAGACTTATTCTACCCCGGATCTTCACGAGTCGAAGAGGACAAAGGATTGTTCCGAATACTCTTAGACCTACATCACTTCGGGCTTTCCTCCCACATTAGGCTGACGTCAGTGAAGTGAAATGAGGTGAAATGGGTTTTAACGTCGCGTCCAAGATTATCGCAATCATATAGCGACGTGCATGCATGTGTGTGTAGTAGTAGTAGTAGTAGTAGTAGTAGTAGTAGTAGTAGTAGTAGTAGTAGTAGTAGTCCGGACTGATGCCCATTTTGTGGTGCTAACTCACCGAGATATCATGCCGCATTTTATCATGACTACCCCACTCAGAGACACACTCCGAGCCGTGCAGTCCTTGTTTCAGTCCCGAACCCCGGACCTTCCGCTCTCCGGGCGGACACCCTACCTCTGGACCACGGAGGAGGCGGTATGCCAGTAGTGATGGAATACTGTTAAATGCGTCACTATTTACCACCATGGAACAGACAAAGCAGTGACTGATGAATAACTTTCCAGGGGATCCGAGGATATATGATTTGCTCTCGTCGTTATGTCGCTGATATATTGGCAACGCATCGTTACATATCGTTAACATAGCCCCCAAGTAAACGATGTTTGTCATTAGAGGTGGGGCGGTCGGGTAGCCTAGTGGTTAAAGTGTTCGCTCGTCACGCCGAAGACCCGGGTTCGATTCCCGACATGGGTACAATGTGTGAAGCCCATTTCTGGTGCTCCCCGCCGTGATATTGCGGGAATATTGCTTAAAGCGGCGTAAATCCACACTCACTCACTCACTCATTAGAGGTGATTAAATGGTTGTGATCGGGGACTTGGTTGATTGCATGACATCGTATCCCCTGACGTTGGGCGTTACTCATAGTACCATTTTGTGGTTTGTCTAATCCAGACTCAATTATTTACAGACCGTGATATGTCTGTGCTATTGGGTTTGGCAACAAACGTTACTTGGAGATGAGTGCAGGGTGTTACTGTGACTTCAAGTACCCACATAGTTCCCACTGCAACGTGTGTATTTTCCTGGAAAGAATTCGTCAAACTAAACTCAGATAAACGCTCTTTTCGATGTTTTATTTGTCTTACGGTGACCATTATGTAATTATATAACCATAATTATTTCTTTAAAATCGTATTGAAATACCAGTGTAATTTAAATAAATTTCAATCTTGGCATCTCCGAAGAAACTTCAGAAACATGAACATTAAATTCTGACATAAGGATTGTAGTTATACTATTCAAAGGTAGTTAAAGAACACATGATATATCCATTAATCTGCCATGCTAGGGGGAGTTCCTTAACTTCTTTTGAGTAGAATATAAGGTATGTTTTACACGTGGTATGACCAGGCCAGGGTCGTTATCAGAAATGTTTATTTCAAAGTACTGTTTTTACCAAGTATTGCCAACAAAATGGATTTTTTTTGGCCCCGCTGCAATTTATAGCCCAAGTATTTCAATAGATGGCGCTTCGCCTTCTCCATTTTCTTACTCTGTTCCCCGGATGTATATCTTCTCTTTTTTAACCCTGCTGTGAACAATTTCCTGATCTCTTCCATTTTCCTCTGGTCATGTGACTCTCGCTTCCTCCTAACTGACGCATGCGCTGTGGTTGTCGTGGTTGGTGGAACGGTTGTGTAATCATAAATTATCACCTGCTCGGTTGTGGTCGTGTCTTCGTTTGCTGCTGCGGTTGTAGTTGTAGTAGTTGTTGTCGTTGTTTGAGAAGTCGTCGAGGTAGTTGTCACTGGAGGCGTTGCCACTGTCGTCGTGGTAGTTGGTTGTACTGTTGTAAAATCGATAACCCTTACGTCTTCTGTTGTTGTTGTGTCAGATACCGACGGCGCCGTAGTTGTAGTAGTTGTGGTCGTGTCCGTCTCTGCTGATGCAGGTGTTGTTGTTGTGGTCGTGTCTGTGTCTGCTGATACCGTTTTTATCGTAAATGGAGGCCTTGTAGCCATCGTTGTGGTGGTTGGAGGAGATGTCGGAAAGTCACATATCACAATACCTTCCGTTGTAGTCGTTTCTGTTGTTGTTGTTGTGGTGGTGGTCGTGTCTATGTCTGCTGATACCGTTGTTGTAGGTACTGGCCGTGTGGTAGCTGTCGTCGTGGTGGTTGGAGGGACTGTTGTAAAATCGTGATGAATGTTCTCTTCCGTTGTCGTGGTTATGTCCACTGTCACGTCACGTCGCTTTCTGCTGGTCCTACAAGCCAAGGAAGACCCATTCCTTTCTTGCACAAGTGTGGAACATTCCTGATCGATTTCCACACAACTTTGGTCTGTCCTGCCTCTGGAAAATACAATCATAATGTTCATCAAGTATGTCAAACTTGAAATTGGGGTACGTAGCCTCTACTTCCTTGATAATAATAAGCAAAAGCATTAGAATAAGAAGAATGGATTAAGTGAGACTGTCCAACACATCGTCATGGATGCCCAGCTTTGGCACAAACACAGTATCTTTAGCGACATGATGGTGTGGCTCGATCATTATATTACCGTCTTCGCCATGCTTGTGGTTTTGACACAGAGGTCCATCCATGGTACGACCCGGAATATGTAGATGGCCTCATGGAATACAAACTTCTGTGGAATAGTCCCGTATACAGCCTCAGATGTATCCAGGCCTACAAACCTGATCTTGGCCTTTTTGATAAATCCAATGCAATCACTTATATTATTGAATTTTCTGTCCCTTTTGACACTTATGTGATTGACAAGATCCAGGAAATACATGGCAATTATGCGGACCTCGCCAAGTTCCAGCCTGACTGTGCCAGGATCACCAAAACCCTCTTTGCTACATTTTTTAAATTTTAATCTGTAAAGTAATATATTCACTGCAGGGAACATAACACTTGATATTTCACTGCAGTGAACATAAGGCATGGGCGGAACTATTGTCACACAAGAGTTACTTCCCCATTAATTGTCTCCCTTTGTCGAAAGTGACTAGCCCGTACACAATTGTTGAGGTTCTTCTAACGCTAGTTCCATACTGACAAGGCAAAATAATGACGGATCGTCATTCATGGAGTTAATATCAATCTAGCCGTTTATTCTTCTCTCGAAAATGTTTCGTTATAAACTGTAAATCTCTAATTTAAATCGTCAATCGAGATCCTTCGTTTCGCAGAACGCCATTTTTGTTACTTGACCAGCGTGTATTCTTTCGCTTCTCTCAGCGGTCTTCTAGTACACACACACACAAAAACACCACACACACACCACGCGCACACACCATGCACGCACACACACACAAACACCACACACACACACACCACACACACACACACACACACAAACACCAAACACACACACAAACACCACACATACAAACAAACACATACAGACACACAAACACCACACACACAAACACCACACACACACACTTCTCACGGTTTAGTAATGTATTGGACCACACACACTCAAACACACATACACACACACAAACACACCACGCACACACACACACACAAACACCACACACTCAAACACACATATACACACACAAACACACATACTCACACACAAACACCACACACACAAACACCACACACACACAAACACCACACACCACGCACGCACACACACGCACGCACACACACACACACACACACACACACACACACACACACACACACACACACACACACACACAACACACACACAAACACAAACACCACACACACAAACACCACACACACACACACACACACACACACACACACACACACACACACACACACACACACACACACACACACACACACACACGCACACACCACACGCACACACACACACACCACACGCACTTCTCGCGGTTGAGTAATGTATTGCAGATCATGAGCTTAGGTGAATAAATATACTCATTGCAGCTGCCTTCTCAGCCTTATTTGAACTTGGATCAATTATCTGTTAGGATTGCCGGGGTAATAGAATGTCATAGTAAATGTCGAATATGTTATACTTCAGGACAGACGCGTAGACACACGCCGTAATATACGTGGACACCTACACCACGAATCTTTGTAACACCTGGATAACACCGGCCGTGCATGAACGTCAATATAAACTAGTCTAGGAGCACGTGCACAAGTACCAATAATAATATTATTGATGATGATACATTACATTGTCAGTGCAACATATTTAAAACAAATATAATTTATCTGCCACCTACCGGCATCCCCTCGCATTCCCTGAGGAACAGAAAAACCAAATCCCACAATCAGTAACTGTATGCGTTCCGTCTGCCAGTTCAGTAGGCTCTGTTCTGCATCGTTCGCCTGTTGATGATTCATAAAGGTATACAGTTTATACAGGTATACAGTTTATACAGGTATACAGTTTATACAGGATTACAGTTTATACAGGTATACAGTTTATACAGGTATACAGTTTATACGGGTATACAGTTAATACAGGTACACAGTTTATACAGGTATTAAGTTTATACAGGAATACAGTTTATACAAGTTTACACTTTATACAGTTTATACAGTTATACAGTTTATATAGGTATACAGTTTATACGGGTATTCAGTTTATACAGGAATACAGTTTATACGGGTATACAATTTATTCAGGTTTACAGATTATACGGGTATTAAGTTTATACGGGTATACAATTTATACGGGAATACAGTTTATACAAGAATACAGTTTATACTGGTATTGGGTTAGGAATAGGATCAAATAATGTTTTATTGATAATAACTATATTTGGAAGAGCAAAATACAAGTTATCATCCAAAACTGGTTCTGACAGGAGATATCGCTTGGGTGAAATCAAGCGACATCTACATTGTAGATATGTAGATACAACATAGTTCGTCAGCACCATACCCGTGCTCGTGGGTTTCACCAAAGTGAAGCATCACTTCGGTCTTTCCTCCCACATTAAGCTGACACGCCGCGATATAACTTGAATACTGTTAAAAGCGGCGTTAAACCCAACTCACTCACTCACTCACTCACTCACTCACTCACTCACTCACTCACTCACTTATTCATAACACCCTTGCCACACTAAGCCTAATATTTCGTATTGGAGAGTATGCATTGTTGTTCCTTGTGATAGTTTCAAGGAATGAAAATATTTTTTTATTTTTCATAAACTTATGAACCCGCATTATGAAATCGAGTCATTAAAGTTGGAACGTACAATTGAACGTACCTATTTTAGCAAACAATGAGAAAACTGTTTCCAAAAGTCAGATAATAAACAACCGTAAACAACCTTATTATAAACAAGACTAATTAACGTCCTCTGAATTATATTGTCATACATATGTATATCATGGGTACAATGTGTGAAGCGCTTTTCTGGTGTCCCCCGCCTAGAGCGGCAGCCCAGAGCACTTTGGTCAAACGAACAAGGTACCAATATCCGAACACAGGAACATTTACTGTGTAACCCAACATATTCATATATGGATGTCTGCCGGGGAGCCACTGCTGCGTGTGGCCCCTGGCCCCCCAAAAGAAGGGGCCATTCAAGGGCTGGATCAAACATTGGAGGTACCACATGAAAGTAAGTGTAAATGAACTGGTACATCTCACAGAGTACAGAATGGGCCACGCCAGACAAATCTTCCTCTGCAAAAGGCCTGCCAGACACCCCCAAAGAGGGTCCCAAAATTTGGGCTGGGTTAAACATTGGAGGTACCACATGAAATCAACATAAAATGAACTATTTCACTCTACTAAGAATAAAAACCCCATTGCCAGACAAATCGTCTGCTGCATAAGGCCCGCCAGACACCCCCAAATGTTGACCCTTAATGCACTCAGTGGACACTCTGGTAAAATTTGACCAGAGTATACATTCAAAGTACCAGATGAAAGTAAGTTTAGATCAACAGGTACATGATACTGAGTACAACACGGCCCATACCTGACAAATTGTCCTCTGCATAAGGTCCGCCAGACCCCCCAGGGAGAGTCCCAAAATTTGGGCTGGGTTAAACATTGGAGGTACCACATGAAACCAACATAAAATGAACAATTGCACTCTACTTATTGCACTATACCCATTGCCAGACAAATCATCTTCTGCATAAGGCCCGCCAGACACCCACAAAAAGTTGACCCTTCAGGTATACACGGGTAAAATTGGTCTGGAATATATATCGATTGTACCACATTAAGGTACGTTTGAATGAACAGGTTCATATCACAGCGTACAGAATGGGCCACACCAGACAAATCTTCCTCTGCATAAGGCTTAAACATTGGAGGTATCACATGGAACCAACATAAAATGAACTATTACACTCTACTTATTACAAAATACCCATTGCCAAACAAATCCTCTTCTGCATAAGGCCCGCTAGACAGACCCTGACCCCACCCCACACAGTTGACCCTCTGTAATCCCAGTGTGCATAATGAAACATTGGACATCAACTCTGAGAGTCAACAGATGGTCAAATTTATGTTTTGTTCTTAAAGATGGACGGATTTTATTGAGATTAAAATCACGTATTTATAAAATCAGGTCTCTGAATACTAGTATTGATATCATAGATTAGGCCTATCGTTGAAATGTAATAAAAAAGGCATGAATCTGATTCTTGTGAATATATATCTGATCAGCTATGAAGTCCTCAAAGCCTGCTATAGCCTGATAGCTTGGCTATGGATTCCTACAAACCCAAACATGCTTAGGTAGTCCTCAAAGCCTGCTATAAGAATGGTAAATGACAGTCCCTAATACCATTGGAAATCTTTTGGTGATAATTGTGTTTAAAAACCTATGATCTCCGTTTATTTAGCAAGTTTTATTATCTAAAAAGCTGAATTCCGGCCAAATATTTCCATATTGATCAATTTTACATAGACGTCCCATCTTCCTTGACGAGATACTATTGCGTCAGAAAAATCAAGTCTAACTAATGCAATGTAAATGTTTGGTTGCATAGTTCTCGCTCGATCGTAGGTCTACCTTGTCGCACAAATTTTAAAATGGCTTGAAAGTTCACAAATACGTTCGTACGAGTAAGCTTCAGAAGAGGAGCGCAAATTAATAAGGTAAGGGTTTTAGAAAACGCTCTTTCTGTTTATCGTGGCAAGAAGATTTCTTTCAAAAAGTTCAAGTCAGATCTCCTTTGTGTTGACATTCCTGCAGGTTATGTGTCATCAAGCATTGTTTTGTCCATGCAGCATCCATTGATACAATGAGCTAGTCTAATCTCGATATCTCGATAGGCCTAGCCTTTGATATAAGTCTAATGATACCATTGCATTGGGTTAGACTTGATCTCGTCAACGAAGAAAAGACGTTAGATGATAAAACTTGCTAAATAAATGGAGATCATAGGTTATTAAACACAATTATCACCCCAAATTTCCAGATTATCATCCTAAAACATTTCCATGTGGCATTAGGGGCTATCATTATCCATTCAGCAACACTCAACAACAAAAGTGTATAGTGTATTTTTCAAACAAGTAAAGTTTGGTTTTCATTATTGTAGTACATGTATGGAATCAAGTCACAAAAACGCAAATGCTACAGAAAAGCATACATTCCATGCAAATGTTGACTTTTATGCAAGCCCCATGCATTTCGTGTGCGTTAACGGGATTCCATATGCATTGTTTAGCATCGTGCTGACAACAACCATTCAGAAAAACAACAAAATTACCCAATTATTCAACATTATGAAATGCCACGCTTGTCCGAAAACGAGCGTCTGCGAGCCATTTGTGTGCTTGAAGAAGGATCGAGTCAACGTGATGTTGCAAGACAATTTAACGTCCACAGAAACACCATTTGGTGTTTATGGCAACGTTGGCAACAGACGAATGCAGTCAGAGACCATCCTCGGAGTGGCAGGCCACGCGTAACCAATAATCGACAAGACAACTGGATTCGAACAACACACCTACGAAATCGATTCTATCCAGCAACAGTGACTGCAAGAAGCATCCCTGCCCTTCGACGATTGTATTCACAAACCGTACGTCTCCGCCTCAGATGTGCAGGGATTGTCTTCATTGTGTCATGGAAGAAGATCGGTTCTGGGGCGGCAGCGTTTTGGTATCGGGTGGGATTACAGCAAGACAGAGGACCCGTTTGATAGTGGTAGAGGTAAATCTCAATGGACAGCGCTACCGCGACGAGATCATCGGACCTGTTGTTCTACCGTTTTTGAGTCGTCATGGCGCCTTCGACGTCAACCACGTGTTCCACAGACACTCCGGGAACTTCGAAATATGCTCCAGCAGATATGGACAGATATCCCACAGAACTTTGTGCGACGCCTGGTCCATTCCATGAGACGAAGATGTGTTGCTTGCATCGCAACCAGAGGCGGACACACACGCTATTGATTTGTAAATTGACATTTTGGCATGTTCATGTTTTTTTAATGAAATCACGCATTTTCCGAAGTCATTATGACAAATTAAAACCATTTGAACACTTACAGGAGTCTTTTATCTGTTGCAAGCCGAAATTGTTTCAGATTTGGTAAAAACACAACTTTGCATTAAATCTTATTCAATGTCACAGGAACTTTTGTTGTTCAGTATATAAAAATCATGGCACATGGCATCATATGCCTATCTGGCTTGTAGGAATCCATAGCCAAGCTATCAGGCTGTAAGCAGGCTTTGAGGACTTCATAGCTGATCAGATATATATTCACAAGATTCAGATTCATGCCATGTTCATTACATTTCAACGATAGGCCTAATCTATGATATCAATACCAGTATTCAGAGACCTGATTTTATAAATACGTGATTTTAATCTCAATAAAATCCGTCCATCTTTAAGAACAAAACATAAATTTGACCATCTGTTGACTCTCAGAGTTGATGTCCAATGTTTCATTATGCACACTGGGATTACAGAGGGTCAACTGTGTGGGGTGGGGTCAGGGTCTGTCTAGCGGGCCTTATGCAGAAGAGGATTTGTTTGGCAATGGGTATTTTGTAATAAGTAGAGTGTAATAGTTCATTTTATGTTGGTTCCATGTGATACCTCCAATGTTTAAGCCTTATGCAGAGGAAGATTTGTCTGGTGTGGCCCATTCTGTACGCTGTGATATGAACCTGTTCATTCAAACGTACCTTAATGTGGTACAATCGATATATATTCCAGACCAATTTTACCCGTGTATACCTGAAGGGTAAACTTTTTGTGGGTGTCTGGCGGGCCTTATGCAGAAGGTGATTTGTCTGGCAATGGGTATAGTGCAATAAGTAGAGTGCAATTGTTCATTTTATGTTGGTTTCATGTGGTACCTCCAATGTTTAACCCAGCCCAAATTTTGGGACTCTCCCTGGGGGGTCTGGCGGACCTTATGCAGAGGACAATTTGTCAGGTATGGGCCGTGTTGTACTCAGTAACATGTACCTGTTGATCTAAACTTACTTTCATCTGGTACTTTGAATGTATACTCTGGTCAAATTTTACCAGAGTGTCCACTGAGTGCATTAAGGGTCAACATTTGGGGGTGTCTGGCGGGCCTTATGCAGCAGACGATTTGTCTGGCAATGGGGTTTTTATTCTTAGTAGAGTGAAATAGTTCATTTTATGTTGATTTCATGTGGTACCTCCAATGTTTAACCCAGCCCAAATTTTGGGACCCTCTTTGGGGGTGTCTGGCAGGCCTTTTGCAGAGGAAGATTTGTCTGGCGTGGCCCATTCTGTACTCTGTGAGATGTACCAGTTCATTTACACTTACTTTCATGTGGTACCTCCAATGTTTGATCCAGCCCTTGAATGGCCCCTTCTTTTGGGGGGCCAGGGGCCACACGCAGCAGGGGCTCCCCGGCAGACATCCATATATGAATATGTTGGGTTACACAGTAAATGTTCCTGTGTTCGGATATTGGTACCTTGTTCGTTTGACCAAAGTGCTCTGGGCTGCCGGTCTAGCCGTGACATTGCTGGAATATTGCTAAAAGCGGCTTAAAACCATACTCATTCACTCACTGCTGCATGTATGCTGCATTATACGCCCATGCACAAGTGACATCAGCATACGTGTTGACAGCTGGCGCATTGACCATGAAACCCTGATGCTTCTATTTGTGATATTGTTTAGTGGGTTTTTTTTCTCTTTTATGTGTTATTGCTCCATGTGTGCATGTACTCATACGCATTTGGTTGTTTGTTTGTTGCTTAACGCCGCACTCAGAAATAGTCCAGCTATATGACGGCGGTCTGGACCAACACTCGTTGATAAAAGTGGAAAAAAACACCTCGACAAGCCTCGGAGTTTTTCCACTTGTATCAACTCGTGTTGATATATTTGATAGCAAAAGACACGAGGGTGAGATTCTCTCTATCTCAATAATTACTTTATCTTACTTCATGAATATGCCATTTGGCTACCGTCGTCTGATAACAATATTTATTACTTGCCCGTGAAGGGATCGCCCGTTTAATAAACATACAGCTGTATTGCACATTGTGTAATACCAAAGCGCGTGCTTATGTACTCTCGGAACACGTTTCACAAACAAATATTGAAAGCTCTCAATTTCCTTTGGCTTATTCAACGACATTGCGTGTGGATATGATAGATCACTGAGAGGAGCTTATGCACACTCGATGCCACACGTCACATGGCATTGTTTCGCTGATGGATCTTACAACAAAATTCCACAAATTACGTCATCGGGTATTGTGACGTGATTGTAAACTTTGAGGTGCAAGGCCCCGTTCCACAAGGCGGTCGTATTGGAGTGCAACGTCAGTCGTTAGTCTAAGTTAAAGTATGTGAGTTGCGATAACCTTTGCGCTACGATAATTGTGCGTAACGGACGCCTGAATTCTAAAGGTGGACCATTGTATGGTATTAAGTTCATACGTTTCAACTTTTGACCTGTTTGAATTATTATATTATGTTAAACTCAATTGGATTATGCCGTGGATCGTGTAGGTGTCAGCCTGTTCACACTCAACAGTATAATTCTAAAAACGTTATAAATGGCAAGTAATAAATAAAATATTAAATTCGCTCCCGTGTAAAACCAATTTTATGAAACTCGCTTTCGCTCGTCATATACCAGAACTATTCACTCGTTTCATAAAATTGGTATTACACGGGAGCTCGTTTAGTATTCTATATATATATTAATGCCTTGAATTGTACATGATTGAATGCCAGACTGGCCCATATTTCTAGGTCTCAGCATCATACCCGTGTTCCTTGGTGCCAACAAGAGGGTAAACGGCTAATACCTGCACCACGTCAAGCTGAGTCGCCGTGATATAACGTGAATATAAAACGTCATTAGCCAGTCGCGAATATCAATCGAAACCGTTGTCATTGGGCGTCAAGGACAACACAGTGGTGAAAAGTATATAAATGGATCACTGAAGGCTAGTGATGACACAAGGTGTTCGCAAAAGGGTAATCATGTCCGGCCGTTAATCCAGATTTTATTCAATCTAACTGGGTAAATAAACTGAACACTGCACTTTCTCACTTACCTGGTGTCAATATGTCCAGCGACGGAATGACACAATTCTCGCAATTCACCAAAGTGAATAAACACAAGAGAAAAATTGTAACCATCATTGATAATCTGAAACAGAAGACACTCATTGTCAGATATAAATCTAGTTCCATAATGACAGACGAAATATTGTCAGAGGGCATGGGGTGAAGTTATGTGGCATTGACTTGCAATTCTGTTTGGTAGTTTCAGAGATTAAAATATCCATGCCAAACCGGATGTTGGTAGGTAGCAACTACCATTTTCTTGCTGAACACTAAAAAATCACCCAATCACATGAAGCATTTAAGCAAGTCTACAGCCATTTTACTCACAAATTTGAACTAAATGTTGGTAGGTACCATTTTCTCGCTTGACAGTAAAAATTTCACCCGAGCACATGGAGCATTTAAGCAAGTCTTCAGCCCTTTTACTCACAAATTTGAACTAAGTGTTGGTAGGTAGCAACTACCATTTTCTCGCTGGACAGTAAAAATTTCACCCGAGCACATGGAGCATTTAAGCAAGTCTTCAGCCCTTTTACTCACAAATTTGAACTAAGTGTTGGTAGGTAGCAACTACCATTTTCTCGCTGGACAGTAAAAATTTCACCCGAGCACATGGAGCATTTAAGCAGGTCTTCAGCCCTTTTACTCACAAATTTGAACTAAATGTTGGTAGGTAGCAACTACCATTTTCTGGCTGGACAGTAAAAATTTCACCCGAGCACATGGAGCATTTAAGCAAGTCTTCAGCCCTTTTACTCACAAATTTGAACTAAATGTTGGTAGGTAGCAACTACCATTTTCTGGCTGGACAGTAAAAATTTCACCCGAGCACATGGAGCATTTAAGCAAGTCTTCAGCCCTTTTACTCACAAATTTGAACTAAATCTAACTTGTATCATGCACTGAAGAGCTTCCAGACCGAAATCGTTATAATATTCACATACGACATTCAACAATGAGCTCAATATTTCTTACTGTACTTTTAGTGTCATCTGAGGCGAGAGCGACGAGCCGAAAACAAGGCGCTTTCAGCGTATAAAAAGGCTTTTATATTACATACAAGCGTAAAATTGTGTCAGTTTTAGCTTTATTGGGCTATTTTAGAATTTGTATCAATGTAATAAGTTTGTGTGATGAATAAAACTTGCCTAAACCATTCCATGTGCCAATTTTACTCCTCAGCGAGAACATGGTTGGTGCCACCGACCAACATACGGATTGGCAAGGGCAGCGCTTTCCCCCTGTGAATATTAGTTTGGCCATATGGATGAACGTGTACAGGGAATTGAGCATAATAGTCCACGATGTTATTTATCAGCTGGAATATGTAGAGAGAGTCTCTCTCCGAGTGTCTTTTTATGTGAAAATACATCTTTTTGCAGAAGATCGAGCATTTCAAGTGAACTATTTCATTTTGTAAAAGTGCTTTGGGGAACAGATTTGTTTTTGTCAACAAAATACCCCCCTCCCCTGCCTTTGGAATACCGAGGCATGTTTGATTATTGAGGAGGGAATCTGTTATAACTTACATTTAAGGCAAAGTACTACATTATTTGTTTATGAATGATCACATTGGCATAAAGTTTGATACATAGCTAAATTCCTTGTGTTTCTTCGACAATAGTCCACCTTCTGGAATATTCTAGAGCTAACCCGGTTTTAAAATAACAAACATCCACATGTTTTGTCAAATGTTCATTAATCTTCAACCTTTATGAAGTCAAAGTACCCCCTAATTTGCTAATAATCAGGTAATCGCGAACTCCAGCATACTAGGCACATAAAAAACATCGAATAAGAAAACTTAATAAATACAAACGTATTCTACGTGTTTATCTAGATGAACCAGAATCACATGAAAAACTAAACTTAGTGTTACAAACAATTGTTCTCAGTTTTTTTCTCACGTTTCCATATGAGTACGAACCGTGAAGATCCGGGTTAGAACAGATCTTCAGCAACCCATGTTTGCCGTTCAAGGCGACTATGCTTGTCGTAAGAGGCGACTTAGGATATCGGGTGATCAGACTCGCTTTGTTGACGCATGTCATTGTATCCCAATTGCGTAGTTCGATGCTCATGATATCAATCACTGGATTGTCTGGTCCGGTTTCGATTATTTTTAGACCGCCTAAGCTGGAATATTGCTCAGTGCGACGTCAAGCAACAAATAAACATACAAATGCGTATGAGTACATGTACAATTTATGTCCATTCTAATAATTTTATATCGGGTCAGCAGAGATGGATGTTGACAATGACTGGTTTGTGCACTGGCGCATTGTTCTGACTGAGAGCACACCTGTAACTTGTCCATCATGATGACACCTTTGACCTACTACAAGATTGTCATTACCTGTCCGGCTGATGGGATAATCTTGACCACTTGGACTCCAAAGTCACAAATCGTTGCAAGAAACTTTCTGGATCAGCTTTAAACAAAGCTAGATGATCACGGGACGTTGTGCCTCGTGCGTCTTTGATCAGATTTCCGTTATTGCACAGGGCACCGTCATGAATCTATCACTGTCATGTCATACACTAAAATATTGTGAGTTGGACTCCGTCACTTCTCTTTCCCGGTTGATATCTGTTAGGAACATCTACATATTTTCACCAGACATTACACTGTAACAACTACATATATGCGAGGGCTGGTGAAAAAGTTCTAAGTCTGGCTAACTTTCAACTATGGGCCATAAGAAATTGAAACAGGAAATGTACAACATTGTTTGAGTAGTTAACTGCAAGAGTATTTGGTCTGTTGCAATTCAAGTCTTCAAGATCAGTGAAGAAAGTTATATTTATGGTCACTGTATTCTGGCATTCAAGGGTGTGATCCTTGTCGATGACTTAGAAAGTCAAAAGACGATTACAGGTCCATATTATGCTGATTCGCTTCGTCGCCTGTGATATTCTATCAGAGAAAAGCGGCGAGGAATGCTGACCGCTGGAGTTCTACTATTTCATGACAATGCCTCTTCTCGCACTTCTCGACTTCCAAAGGCTGCTGTGCGACACAGTGGGTTCGAAAAGCTTCCTCACCCTCCATACGCGCCAGACCTAGCCTGGCACCAAGTGATTTCCACATGGTTCCTAAACTGAAGGAATACCTTCGTGGAAAGCGCTATGAAGACACCGATGACCTCAAAGCTGCCGTGAATGGGCTTCAGAAAACTTCTTCCTGACTGGAATTGAAACGCTTCACTGTCGATATGGGAAGTGTGAAGAGCAGGCAGATTATGTTGAAAAATATTATTTAAAACACTTAGAACTTTTGGACCAACCGTCGTACACTAGACATTACGCTGTAACATCTACATATATACACTAGACATTACAATGCATCACCGACTTGTGATAGAAACGGCAACGTCCGGACTCTGTCGCCAACGTCAATGAAGACCGTGTGGACTTTCTTGAAATGATTTGTGTTTTGACAAGGTATCGACCATTCAATATTTTGGGGGAGACCTCTCGTTTTTTTAAACGTCTGATGACAATCAGGTTGTTTCTCTTAAAGGTGCAGCGTTTTAGGACCCACAGTGCATTGGTTCTAAGAACATCCAGCATGCCCACAGTACGATCAATACAATTTGTTAAAACCTAAGCGAGCGACCATTTGATATTCTGTGGGGGCTAGGATTTGTAACGACATATTTCCTCACCTACAGCTACAAACAACATATATTTTGTTTCATTTAAAACTATGGGCCGGAGTTTTTCTAACTTGCAACATTGTAATTTTTGTGGCAGGCAAAGTTTAATTTTTTCAACAATCTGACGCATAATTATTGATTTTAAGAATGTTCGTGGACAATAAAAATTTAATGTTTTAATGTTTTCGATAAATTTGATAAATCAAATGATCCGTCCCAAGCATTTTCGGTAACAGATTACTTTTTCAAAACAAATAACCTCTGCCACACCCAACCCCTAGTCTCAAATATCAAATTGTCCACCATAGTCATTCCAAGTTAACGTGAACTGTCTGTCGCCTGGCTGCTCTTTCTCCATCTTACATCTAAATACACATTTATGGAATTCAATCTGATACAATGACTAAGAATACTTACTTTCCTCCTGCTTCTAATAATGAGCTTGTGTGATGTAAACGTATTCTTCTTCTAATGCTTTATATATAATACGGCACTGGCACCATCTGCCATCTGTTGTATGGTAGCCAATCAGGTCGATAGAACGAAATGCAATAGCAAATGACACACCAAGTATATATCTGTAGATATATATTTGTAGCATTTGCACGAGACATGATTAATGTGAGATTTGTCAATAAATAAACCCTTTCCATATTCATAAGGATATGGCACTCCTGCGACATAAAACGCTGTTTATATGAAAGAGTGTGTAATTTCTTAATAAATGGGCTCGGGAATGTAACAATAGTTGTTAACTGACACAAGATCGATATACCTTTACATTGGCCGAGTTTTTGAGTTAAGGAATACGAGACAGCAATACGGAGAAATACAGTAATGCCACGCGTAATGCGCAATACAACATTTCATTTGGGCGTAGAACTGTACCGGAAATGGTGCAGAAGTCTGAATAGAGCTACATATTGGCCAATCCCCTGATGTTTCCGGATCAGAATTGGTGCACGTGCTTGTTGTAAGAAGCAACTAACGGGATCGGGTGGTCAGGCTCGCTGACATGACTCATGCATGTAATCGTATCCCAATTGCGTAGCTCGATGCTTTTGATGTCAATCAATGGATGATTCACAGACCGCCGTTATATAGCTGGAATATTTGCGTTAAACTACAAACTAACAGACTGATCTATCTGGTAACTGTTAGCACAACAATGCCGTATAAATACGCTCCTTATGTGTTCTTCCCTAACCTATCAATCAATGGGGAAAAGTATTACCAGATTTATCACCAATATTTAAAAGAAAATATTGCTGGACAAAGTTTGTTTAAATCTTAATTTAAAATAGGATAACAAATCTGTAGGGTCCAACTTGAACCCCAAAAACAACGGTAAACTTTAAATCAGACACCCGTTTGGAGTGCTTGATATACTACAAATAGAACTGACAAAACCTTTTCCCTCGCTTCAAGAAATCTCTACTAAAAAGTCCATTGTACGATTCCACATGAGTTTGTGTTTATGAATCACTATCAATACTGATGATACCAGGTGTTCCCGACCTGTCACAAACACATGCAACGGCAAGTAAAATGTTCACCTGATAAAACAAGGGAACATATGGTGCTAGTCAAAATAGGAGACGACATCTCAAGAGAAACAAATCTCAAAACTAGCAATAATGTTACCTACTTGTTCGAAACACGTACATACGACACCACTACTAAATTTTGCATTAACCATACCGATTCGAATAGAACAATCTCAGTTATATGAGACAACAGACTCTGGAAGCCTATACCTGCGATAGAACTGATGGTCAATATCACCTGTGTTACACTAACTTCAAGTTCATGCGTCGTGGTTATTGTTAACTGTCTAGACACAGAATCTATTCAATATTAGTAAATTGTTTTACAGTCAGATTATTTTCACCTATATACACTGTTAAAAAAAAGAAACGCACAGGTAGATTTTTAGTTAATTTATTGTACCTAATAAAGTCGATATATTTAATTTAATATCATAGATAAAAATATGAAATTTTGGAGCTTTAATAATTTGACGCACCGAATATCAGACCACCAACATTTTCCAAATAACATATATCCAATTTATATACCGGATTTTTTGTGTAGTCAGGTTCAGTGAACTACATACTACCTGTGCGTTTCTCTTTTTGAAGACTGTAAGGTTTAAATGGAATTGGGTACAGATCCAAGTGTGTGGGGTCCCAAAGTGATTGTTTAAAGCCGCTTTGATCAATATGTCAGCTTGATGTGCATATGGGTACAATGTGTGAAGCCCATTTCTGGTGTCCCCCGCCGTGATATGGCTGGAATATTGCTAAAAGCGGCGTAAAACGATACTCACTCACTCACTTGATGTGCATAGGAATCAGGAAGTGGTGCTAATCTTAGACGTTTACCGCTTTTATGAAACCCACGAGCACTGGTGTGGCAAACCAAGAATCATAATCAGAGCGAATCTTGGATTCCATAAGCTCTGCAACTGTGCGCCAATAATTGCCGAACCTTATTCCAAATATATGTGAAATTAAAACAAAGTTGCGTGAACGCCCATAGTATAGCATAGTATAGTGAACATCACTTGAACATTAGTTTGAGGCATTAACTTGATCGAACTTTGTTTTAAGTAGGAGAAAGTCCTCAATTTCGCGATTATTTTCGTAAGTGAAACTTGACGGCCTCGAACAAGCTTCACGTGCGAAAATAATGGCGAGATTTCGAACATTCTCCTATACATACATACGAAGGTATAGTCATGTTCACATAATGATTTCAACTCCGTATCTATTCAACATATCGGTTAAGTTTTAAACATTGCTGGATTTGGTCTAACCACCACACGCACTGAACAAAACATCTCCGTGTTTCTCGGAAATGTATCAGCAGGTCCTGTCTCATCAGCGTCACCTACAAAGCCAACACCCTCAAAGCCAACACAGTTCTATGTGTCAGCAGGTCTTGTCTCGTCAACAACACCTACAAAGCCAACACAGCTCTATGTGTCAGCAGGTCTTGTCTCATCAACATCACCTACAAAGCCAACACAGCTCTATGTGTCAGCAGGTCTTGTCTCATCACCATCACCTACAAAGCCAACACAGCTCTATGTGTCAGCAGGTCTTGTCTCATCAACATCACCTACAAAGCCAACACAGTTCTATGTGTCAGCAGGTCTTGTCTCATCAGCGTCACCTACAAAGCCATCACAGTTCTATGTGTCAGCAGGTCTTGTCTCATCAGCGTCACCTACAAAGCCAACACAGCTCTATGTGTCAGCAGGTCTTGTCTCGCCAACATCACCTACAAAGCAAACACAGCTCTATGTGTCAGCAGGTCTTGTCTCATCAACATCACCTACAAAGCCAACACAGTTCTATGTGTCAGCAGGTCTTGTCTCATCAACATCACCTACAAAGCCAACACAGCTCTATGTGTCAGCAGGTCTTGTCTCATCAACATCACCTACAAAGCCAACACATATGTCAGCAGGTCTTGTCTCATCAACATCACCCTCAAAGCCAACACAGTTCTATGTGTCAGCAGGTCTTGTCTCATCAACATCACCCTCAAAGCCAACACAGTTATATGTGTCAGCAGGTCTTGTCTAATCAACATCACCTACAAAGCCAACACAGTTCTATGTGTCAGCAGGTCTTGCCTAATCAGCGTCACCTACAAAGCCAACACAGTTCTATGTGTCAGCAGGTCTTGTCTCATCAGCATCACCTACAAAGCCATCACAGTTCTATGTGTCAGCAGGTCTTGTCTAATCAGTATCACCCTCAAAGCCAACACAGTTCTATGTGTCAGCAGGTCTTGTCTCATCACCATCACCTACAAAGCCAACACAGTTCTATGTGTCAGCAGGTCTTGTCTCATCACCATCACCTACAAAGCCAACACAGCTCTATGTGTCAGCAGGTCTTGTCTCATCAGCATCAGGGGGCACGGGTGGCCCAGTCGTCTAAAGCGCCGCGATTCGCAGTGCGGAGTTGCGTCCCTTAGGCACGCCAGAAACCTATGATTGTGGGTTCGAATCCCGGTTCGCCCCGATTATGTTTCTAGGTTTGTCAGCACCATACCCGTGCTCGTTGGTTTCACCGAAATGGTAAACGTCTTAGACCTGCATCACTTCGGGCTTTCCTCCCACATTAAGCTGACACGCCGTGATATGATTAGAATACTGTTAAAAGCGGCGTTAAACCAAACTCACTCACTCACTCATCAGCATCACATACAAAGCCAACACGGTTCTATGTGTCAGCAGGTCTTGTCTCGTCAATATCATCTACAAAGCCAACACAGCTCTATGTGTCAGCAGGTCTTGTCTCGTCAACATCACCTACAAAGCCAACACAGCTCTATGTGTCAGCAGGTCTTATCTCATCACCATCAGCTACAAAGCCAACACAGCTCTATGTGTCAGCAGGTCTTGTCTCATCACCATCACCTACAAAGCCAACACATGTGTCAGCAGGTCTTGTCTCATCAGCATCACCTACAAAGCCAACACAGTTCTATGTGTCAGCAGGTCTTGTCTCGTCAATATCACCTACAAAGCCAACACAGCTCTATGTGTCAGCAGGACTTGTCTCGTCAACATCACCCTCAAAGCCAACACAGCTCTATGTGTCAGCAGGTCTTGTCTAATCAGCATCACCCTCAAAGCCAACACAGCTCTATGTGTCAACAGGTCTTATCTCATCACCATCACCTACAAAGCCAACACAGCTCTATGTGTCAGCAGGTCTTGTCTCATCACCATACTACAAAGCCATCACAGTTCTATGTGTCAGCAGGTCTTGTCTCATCAACATCACCTACAAAGCCAACACAGTTCTATGTGTCAGCAGGTCTTGTCTCGTCAATATCACCTACAAAGCCAAAGCAGTTCTATGTGTCAGTAGGTCTTGTCTCACCAGCATCACCTGCAAAGCCAACACAGTTCTATGTGTCAGTAGGTCTTGTCTCATCAGCATCACCTACAAAGCCAACACAGTTCTATGTGTCAGCAGGTCTTGTCTCATCAGCGTCACCTACAAAGCCAACACAGTTCTATGTGTCAGCAGGTCTTGTCTAATCAGCATCACCTACAAAGCCAACACAGTTCTATGTGTCAGCAGGTCTTGTCTCATCAGCGTCACCCTCAAAGCCAACACAGCTCTATGTGTCAGCAGGTCTTGTCAAATCAACATCACCTACAAAGCCAACACAGTTCTATGTGTCAGCAGGTCTTGTCTCATCAACATCACCTGCAAAGCCAACACAGTTCTATGTGTCAGTAGGTCTTGTCTCATCAGCATCACCTGCAAAGCCAACACAGTTCTATGTGTCAGTAGGTCTTGTCTCATCAGCATCACCTACAAAGCCAACACAGTTCTATGTGTCAGCAGGTCTTGTCTCATCAGCGTCACCTACAAAGCCAACACAGTTCTATGTGTCAGCAGGTCTTGTCCAATCAGCATCA